CCCCCGCCCCCTGAGGCCCCGCCCCGAGCCCGAACTGGTCCCCGCGCAGAGCGGGGAGACAGGTGGAGGGGAGCCGATCCCTGAGCCGCGCTCTCGGCCCCACCATGGGCAACAGCGCGGGCCGCAGCGACTTCGAGTGGGTCTACACGGACCAGCCGCACACGCAGCGGCGCAAGGAGATGCTCGGTGAGCTCGGGCCCCAGGTGGGGACAGCCCTGGGGCCGTCTGGTGTCCTGGGACAGCCCGAGCCCAGGGGGTCGCTCCTGAGGCCCGGATGCCCAGCAGGCCCTCCCCTACCTCTGCTCCAGAGAGGGTAGGAGCGCCACTCCCCCTCCCTCAGCGTCCCCGGCTCGGGGTTCCTGAGGGTCCCCAGCTCCGGCCTGGAACTCCCCTCGTGTCTCTGCCTCTGTCCTGGAATCTCAGACCCGAGGACCCCAGCCCGGATCCGCGTGTCAGAGGAGCGCGTCTCAGCTGCTCCATCCTGGCTGTGGGACGCGAGCCACTCCCAGGGCCGGGACCAGGGCTCGAGCTCTGGCGAGAGGTCGCAGCGCAGAGGTCGGCCCCAGGGACTGTCTTTGTACGGGATGCGCCGCCCCCGCCTTCGAAGGCAGCTCCGCAGCCACCTGTCCTCCGCCGCATCCCGGGCTCCTATGTGCGCTGAGCGCCGGGGTCCCGGCGGCCCAGCCGGAGGAGCCGCCAAGCCCACCCCCAATCCCTGAGTTTAGGGCAGAATGAGCGCCTCGAAGGAAGCAAACGCTGAACCAGAGATACACGTTTTTAAAAAACAAAGACTGTACCAAAGAGTCTGTCCTTTTATTTTATAGCCTAATACACGGTGGCCCCCCTCTCTGTCGTTCAGTGTCCCGGGAGGTCATTTTTACCTACGTGGTCACCCATCCTTTGGATTCACCCATCCTGATGGGCTCCATCCGTCTCTCAGGAAGACCCAGGATGTACAGTCCTTTACCTGCAATTAGGGGTTAAAGAGCTCGCACCTACGGAACAGCTTTTACTAGGTGCCACCAAACCGCCTTTGCAGTGCCGTGCCAGCTTCCAGCAGGGTGGACACGTTCCCGTGCCCCAGAATCCGTCGCCATTTCACCACACCCTCACCTACACCTGGGGTTGGCAAACGTTTTTAATCTTTACCAAGCAGATTGACAAAACAATACTATTTCATTGTGGGTTAAATTTTTAATTTGATGATTGGTTTCAATGTTTAATTGGCCATTTAAATTTTTTTATTTTCTCTTGGCTTGGTCTTTTGCTTGTTGGTGTTAGAGCCCTTTGTATAGAGGCTTTTAACCCTTTGTCTTATACATTGCAAATCTTTTTCCCTTTATAGTCACAAAAGCTTTTTTGTTTTTTTTTAATCATTTGAATAGGTTGGCTTTTTTTTCTTTAGAATTTTCCTTTTGGTGTCTTCCTGCCCCACCCCAAGACTAGGGAAATATCTATCCTATTACCTTTCAGACACCGGATGCACTGAGTGGTTAGTGTATGACCGTGCCCTGCTTTTGCTGGGGGTTCAGGGCCTAGAGACCCCTGGGTGGGTCTGTAACGTCTGTGGTTTTCTCCTGTGAGGTGAGCAGTAACCCAGCACTATTTACGCCTGCAAACTTCCTGCAGGTGGCTCAGAGGGCACTTGGTGATCATCTGGTCGTCCCTCCCCCACAGAGCACAGGCATCTTGGCTGCTGTCTTCTCAGCAGTTTCAAGGCAGGGCTGTGTTACCTTCCCCTCCCCTGGCTGTCCCCCACCTCCCCCTTACAGGACTCACTGGGCACCTGGCCCCAGGTGGAGAAGGCTGCGGGATGTATCCTGGCCCACAGAGCTGCCTGGAGGGATCCAGACACTCTGGGTCGCAGACTTACTTTCCCAATCTGCATAATGGGCACCATCATCCTTTCTGGAGGAGTGGGTATGAGGATAAAAGGAGAGCTTGGGTGAGAAGGCGCTCACTGTGGTACCCAGCACGCCAGGACATGGAGAATGATCTGTCTCTCAAGAGGGAAGCCATGGACCCTGGAACCAATCCAGGAAGCATCCTGGACAGGGTGGCTGGGAAGCCTGGAAGACTTGGAGGAGAGGGAGGTGACTTGGGCCAGGGTGGGGACAGCACAAGTTCTCAAGGGCTGACTCTCCAGGGAGCTTTGCAAATTCCCTCTGTGCACTGGGTGCTGTGGATTCCTCCCCACACGTCCAGTTTTGAGCTAACGAACTTGGAATGTGCCATTCCCCCTCCCTCTCAGGCATTTGCTCACGCTGTTCCTCCGCCTGGGGGACCTTCCTCGCTACTCTGCCCTACTCGCTAAGTTCTCCCTCCTGTGGGAATTACCCTCCCCCCCACCCCAGCCCGGGCCAGAGGAGGGTGCTTCAGGGGGATTCCCCTCCACTGCTCCAGCCCATCGGGTCTTTATCTCTCTGGGGCAGTTATATGGCTCTAGACCTTGGCTGTGAGCTGATCTCCTGGCGAGGACAACACCCACTCATTAGTCATGTGGCCCTGGGCAAGTCAATAAGCAGATAAGGAAACTGAGGTTTGATTGAGTTAAAAGGGGTGAATTGTAGCACTTTCTTTATGGAGTTGTGCAGATTTTTTTAAAATATCACTTTTATTTATTTATTTTTTTTAATATTTATTTATTTATTTGGTTGCGACAGGTCTTAGTTGTGGCTGGTTGGCTCCTTAGCTGTGGCATGCAAACTCTTAGTTGCGGCATGCATGTGGGATCTAGTTCCCCATCCAGGGATGGAACTTGGGCTCTCTGCACTGGGAGCGCAGAGTCTTAAACACTGTGCCACCAAGGAAGTCCCTGTTGTGCAGATTAAATGAGGTGGTGTTCATGCTTAGCCCAGCACTCAACAAAATGTTAGCTGCGATGATAATTATTACCTCTTGCAGAAAGGCCCATGTTTTCCCCAAGGACAGGGAATGCCTTTCCATCTCTGTTTTCCTGAAGCTTGTGCTATTCCCAGCCTGAGGGAAATCCTATGTGTAACTGTCAGCCTCTCTTTACAGAGGAGGCCCCAGAGTGGGGCTCAGAGAGCGGAAGTGACTTGCCTAGGGCCACACAGCTCATTGGCCACAGAGGCCAAGTTGGTGTTCAGGCAGGGATGTGCTCCAGTCCCAGCCAGCTGGCTGCTGTGTGTCACACCAAGCTCCTTGGGGGCCACTGGATGCTCAACGATCCTAATCTTGAAGTCAGAACCCAGGAAGTCCTCGCATAGAGCTGGTTGCCGTGCTCTTCGCGCAGGACCAAAGTCCGTCTCCAGATCCTGCCTGGATGGGGACGTGCCTTGCAGGCCAGGGCTGAGGCTCCCTGTGCTGAGAGGGCAGGAACGGAGCTGGTGAGACTCTGGTCACATTGGAGACCAGAGTCCAAGCCAGCTACGCCCAGCGGAATAAGAAGCAGGGTTTGAATTTGTCTTTTCAAAAACAAATAGCTTTGTGATTTTTTGTTTTTTGTATTTCACCATGTATGTGCCCTTTCATAAGTAAAAAAAAAAAAAAAAAAAAAAAAAAAAATCAAATAATCAAAGGAAAGCAAGGAAGTGAGACTCTGGCAGTTGTTGGATTATTTGCTCACGAAAGGCCCTGGGTGGGTGTAGGGGTCTCTGAGTGGCGAGTGGTAAAATCCAGAACTGAACTGGCCGACACTCTCAAGCGCATTCGTTGAGGCTCTTCACCCAACCACAGAGATGCTGGAGCCAGGGGTGGAGGGCCGGCCGGCCACACGGCCATTGTCTCCCGCCCCTGTCCTTGCTGCTGCTCCTCGTCCTCCAGGAGGGCTGCAGCCTATGTCCACCCAGCTCTGAGATTCCCACAGAAGAGAGAAAGGTGCCTCTCTCCCCTTCTGCCCTGAGTAGCCCGTCCTCCCCTTGAGCCAGCTCATCTCTGGCCAGAGCTGTGAGTCTTCTGATTGGCCAGTGGGCGGGGGGCTGTGATGGGCAAACCGCACAGTATCACATTGTGACGTCAGAGAGTTGCAGCTCTCTGAGAAAGGGGTGCTGTGATCCTAAGTTGGGTGGGGAGGGAGGGGTGCTGGGTGCATGGGCGCACAGCAGCACAGACAATAGGTGATCCCTGGGACACTATTTAAAAAAAAAAAAATTATTTATTTATCTGGGTCTTAGTTGCGGCATGTGGGACCTAGCTCCCTGACCAGGGATTGAACCCAGGCCCCTGAGCATGGCGTCTTACCCACTGGACCACCAGGGAGTCCCTCTAGGACCCTATTTGAGCTGACTGTGTCCTCCCTGGCTTGAGTCCTCCAAGGGCTTCCCTTCCTAAAATCTCATCTCTGCGTATTGGCACCCCCATGCTCTGGCCCCTGTCCTTTCTCCTTACTTTCTGCTCTCTAGCCACTTGGTGGAATATACCCACCATCTGCCCATTTCCTACTGCATGGCTTTTGCAAATGCTGTTTCCTCTGCTTTAATTCTTTTTCCCTACTCTTCGTCTATGGAACTCCTATGCATCCTTCAGGTCTCAGCCTAAATGTCCCTTTCTCAGAAACACTGTCTAACAGCACGTGCCCTCACACACGGTATGCTGGGAAATATTAAACAATCAACTGAATCTCTGGAGGGAACAAAAGACCCTGATTCGCAAATTGGCATTTGCCAATTTTTATAGCTATTTCCATCATGGCCAATTTCAAACTACCAACATGCATCACTGCCCACGGAGTTGGGGAGAGAGCAGTATATTTGGGCGCTTGACAGTGGCAGGCATAGGCTGGTTGCCCACACCACAGTCTACCCCCGTCTCTGCCGCCCAGCTATTCCTCCCCTATCTTTCCGTGGGGTGCTGTGCACTGTTACCTTGTGACCTTTGCTCCCATCTGTAATTCTACATTGATTTGTGGGGTGATAGCTTTGTCTGACTCTCCCACTCAACTCTGAGCTTCCCAAGGGCAGGGCCGGGCCCACCTCAACCAGTGCCCTTCCCAGCGAAGCTGAGTGAGGCAGTAGGCACCTACCAAAGCTTGATCATCTCTAGTCCAACCTGCCACGACCGTCGCAGGGTTTCCCTCCCTCCAGAGGTGCCAGGGACCTGCCAGCCACAGCTCAGAGCACGCGGTTTAATCCTTGCCAGATGGAGAACAGGGAGACATCCCGTTGTTTTTTTTCCCCCTCTAATATCTCTCTATCTATCTATTTATCTATTTATTTGGCTTGCTG